TACCTGCAGTGAAGGAATAGTTGATAAAAACAGCTGAACTAGCATTGATGACAAAATTAACTTGTTTGATTAGACAGATGAATGACTATATTTATCAGTCACTGGAAACTTTTAGAGACATTGGGGGGGAAAGAAAAATAAACTTGTGATTTAAGATTGAAGATTAACAAGGGTAAGGTGGGAGAAATTATAATGTAATCTTGGAGGGTAAAATATAAATGCATTTATAATTATTCACAATCTTTTTTTTTTCTTACTTTTTTACTTGCTATTTTTCCTTATTTTCTTTGCTTCTTTTCTAATGTTTGTATATATATATAGTGTATAAAATATATCAAATGTGTATAGATCAGGGGTGTCAAACTCACGGCCCATGGGCCGGATGTGTCACATGCTGGCCCCACCCCCTGCCCGGTTTAGTGAAGCAGGGAAGTCCTGATACATCGTGTGACGACACCATGATGACACCGTGATGACGCAAGTTTGACGCCCCTGATATAGAGTCTGAATATTACTAAGTCAGTTAGAATGTTGCCTTTAAAAGTAAGGTATTTGCTAAGTGCCTAGTTTGGAGTACTGGAGAAGGTGCTGGCTAGAAACCAGGAGACTGTGAGTTCTAGTTCTGCCTTAGGCACAAAAGCTGACTGGATAACTTTGGACCTCTCAGCACAATTCACTTCACAGGGTTATTGTTATAGAGAAAATAGGAGGTATATATGTCAGCCTCAAGAGATACCCATCCCTACCTATCAAGATATATCCGCTCCTAATTATGGTTCATTTGTTGCTATGCTTTTTACTTCTCTTTCGGCTGTCATGAAACGGTGGGAGGGGGGAATCTTCGAAGGGAAGAAGGCAGGAGGTGTTTTGCATTCTTTTGCTGGGTAAGGAAAGGGAGGGGGGATTCTTTGTTGTAACTTTCCATTTCTCACTAACCTCTGTCCTCTTATATGCGCAACTGCGAACTTTTATCAAAATATGTCAAGGTCACTGACAGTAGCCTCATCATCACCTAGAGATGACCACATGATCCTATTCAGAAGTTTTAATTGGAAGAATCATTTGATCTCTGGAGGGGGGGGAGCAATTCTATCCCTTTGTATATGCATTTTACCCGCCAATATTTTAGTTTCGGAATTGATTCTGTTTGCTACCATTCATTTTCCAGTAAAAGATAAATTCTGCTCTACACCATGGAGTCTGAGTATTTCTTTCTTGGGATCTAGAAGGAGCACAGTCTGACAATATATTTTTGTTATGTTGAGTTGATAATTAAATAAAAAGACAGGCTAAAAATTTAATAATATGCCTTTCTTAAGTTATCTCTAAGTCTTCATTTTGACCAGGGAAGCAAATTAAGGATAATTCAGATGAAGAACTTGCCAATCATTATCCTTTTTTGATTAAGCAGAGAATAACCACCTCCCCCCCCCCAATTATTAAGCTCAATAATGAATTGAGCTAGTGAAATCAAATCCATCTCCAGATTAATTCCACTCACATACTTTTCTGTCAGCATTCCATCCTGCAGTCATCTTCATTGTTTTATTCTTGGCACAGCTATGGTTTCAAATTGACAGTTTTCTCTAAGAATCTGTGTTGCACTAAAATACTGCAAAAAGCCTGATTTGACACAATTGCCCCTTGATGCCTCCTGTAGACAATATGGTCTGTTTGGAGTGACCTTGTCATGCTTATCCCAGGAATAGATAAACATCTATGTTTTTTCAGACTTGGATCCGTTATTCAGCATCTTCACGATTGAAGACTCACAGATTCACTTAGCTGATGATGTTACCAAGTCAGTTAATCAAATGTCTGCAAGCAAACAACCAAGCTTGGAAAGCACCAAGGACCTCCCAGTTCAACCCTGAATTACAGACATTCTCTACTATTAATATGTTTACTATATGATCAGCAGAGGTCATTTCTTGGAAGAAAAATATGTGCCTCCAAGTTTCTTGCTTTTCTTTTTCTTGATTTTTCGGCTTAGTCAAACAACAGTTTAATCTGTTTATAATGCCCCAAATCAGACACCATCTCACTTGCATCATACTACCATTATCTGGCCATTTGTAGCCAGATTTCAACAACATGTCCTTGGAAGACTCCAGGAGGCACAGAAAAAGAGCTGTGGGTGGAGGCCACATTCAACCAAGCATCACATTAGTTCCAATACACTGCTGTTGTTCTTCAGTTTTCAGCAGTGTGATGATCTTACTAGGCTCCAGAGTATGCAAAGAAATACTCAGGAGCAGGGAAAATGCATTATGGAAACTACTGGTTCTTAACTTATATTTTCCAGTATCCAGTTTCTTCATAACACTCTAATAATTGCCCGGAAGTGAACAAACATGATTCTCATTAGTTAACAAACAAGCAAGGCATAAAAGTGCTTTATTCTGTGCTCTTTCTGAAAGCTTGTATCTGTTGCTGCCCTACTGGAAATGGAAAATAAGTTGGCCTAGAGAAAGGGAAAAAATTTAAATCATTTGAATATCTCTTTTGCAATATGGCAGTATTTTTTATCCTTAGCAACTTGAAAATGTGTGCCAGCAGGGACACAACCAGATGGGGAATTCTGGGAGTTGAAACCTACACATCGTCAACTCCCTGAGGTTCAGAAATGTTTTTGGCTTTTTAAAAATAACATGCATTATTACTTCCATCCTGACTATATTAGTTTTCACATCCAGGTACCAATCTCAACACAATTGTAATTATTATCATTTTACAGAGCACTGAATGAATTATAAAATTGAAACCATTCTTGGCATCACAATTATATATTCTTTCCTTACATAAGAAGCTAATATTTGGCATAAGTAAAAACTACAGTACAGCTAGTCCTCAACTTACAACTGTTTGTTCAATATCTATGGAGATTCTCAGTCATCCAGGTCACGGTTGTCCCAAAGCTACTTTTTCAAGAGGCAACTGGACTTTCTGGGTTTTTTTTTAAAGACATTTCGCTTCTCATCTTGGATGAGAAGTGAAACATCTTCAAAGAAAAACCAAAAGTCCAATTGCCTCTTGAAAAAGTACCTTTGGGACTGTTTGTTCAATGACCACTTGAGCTTACAATGTCATTGAAATTGTGATCCCTGCCCAAAGTTATGGCCATTGGTCACATGAACAAAATTTAGGTGCTTGGTAATCTACTTACCGTTACAACTGACTGCAAGAATGCTGTAGCATCCCACCTACCTATCACCTTCGCATGAGTCTCTGCAGACCTTGGGCCTGCTTCCCACCTACTGGGTCTCACATCCTCCTCCCCAACTGTGCCACAGCTCGGTAAATTGATAAATCTCCTTCAGAAAGCAGTCAGCACACCTCTCAGCCTGCCTATAAAATGGAGGCTATGTGGTGCCCTCCCAGAAGTAAGCATCATTTCGGAACAGCCACAATTCAGTGTGGTTGCTCCCAAAATGGCAGCTGCTTTTGGAGTGGTGCCATGCAGCCTCCATTGTGTAGAGGGCTATTCTTACCAAAAAGATAAATGACTTTAGCTAAGAAATATACATTTCATAAATAATGACATGCTGATTTCCCTTATGTATTTTAGCATTGCACTACTGTCCAAAAGAGACTTCGAAGCAATTAAATTTGGAATAACCAGGCTTGCATCATCATGAGCCATGGTGGTGCAGTTGTGGCATGGTGACAACAGAAGTAACCTGCAGTACTGCAATCTAACCACTGTGCCACCGTGGCTCAGTTAGAATGCAATACTGCAGGCTACTTCTGCTGACTGCCAGCTGCCTACAATTTGACAGTTCAAATGTCACCAGGCTCAAGGTTGACTCAGCCTTCCATCCTTCTGAAGTCAGTAAAATGAGGACACAGATTGTTGAGGGCAATATGCTGACTCTGTAAACCGCTTAGAAAGGGCTGAAAACACTGTAAAGTGGTATACAAGCCTAAGTGCTATTGCTATAGTGCTATTGCTACCAACTAACCAATGCAAAAAAACATCTTTTCAGCAGGAGCTGGACTAGAAGACCTCTAATGTCCCTTCCAACTCAGTTATTCTGTTATCTCATCAGAGGAGCAATAATATGTACCAACCAACTTTACACACTAAGAGGATTGGGTAAAAGAATTAAGAGGAAATTAACAGAAAATGAATGAGATTTCAATAAAAATGTAATACAAACACATTCAGAGCAAATTTGAATAAAATAGAGTTAAGGACTATTTCCCTAACATCACATAGTTGAAGGTTTGAAACTTGGGCTGAGTGCCATTGAAGTGCAAGGTGGTTTGGATCAGAAAATAAGCAATAATTGCATATTAGGAAGACTGCTGGAAATGAAACATAAAACTTCAACTAGTGATCTGCAAAAGAATCCACAGTATGAATATATTTTTTCTTATAACATGGACATGTAGAGTTCTTTTGGAGTTCAGAATCTTAAAGATAACATCAAAAAATGATTCACACTAAAAAATATCAGTCACACTTTCCCAAAGCAGACATCAGATTAAAACTGGAAATCAAAGGGAATACCTAATCAAAGAATCCTCAAATACTAATGAAAAGGAAGAGAAAAGTGTCTGTCTATGTATATTCCTGGACATGACTGTCTAGATTCTGTAAGACAAAATAACTTTGGAAAATAAGGACATCTGCAATAAATATTATGCCAGTTAATATAAACATACATTCAGAACCTCCACACAGAAATTTCAATGAAGGGATTATATTAATATAAATAATTATGTATATTCAATTTGTGCAAACCTTACTTTGTCCTGTTGAAGACATCACAAAACAACAATACCAGTGACTGGACCTTAACATTTATTTCTTTTACCCATCTGCACAGACATTCCATTATTCTGAAGAGATTCATCAATTGTTGTAATTTCTTATGTTCAATCTCCTATTTCTATCCCCAGCAATATTATAAAAGAGTCTGTCATGTTGAGATAACGACCAAGGACATGTTCTTAAGTGATCCTCTGGAAAAGCCAAAATCACTATATACACTTACTTGAATTGATGGTGTTCTCTGGAGCTACGAATCTTGGAAGAAAATCTTTCTGCTAATTTTTCCAAATTCCTGGAATATTCCAGTTCAATCTCAGCCTTTCTGCGGAAAAACTCCTGAAGATCTTGCAAAAGTTGTAATCGGGATTCAGACTGTTGTTCTAGGCATTTGAACTGCTCCACCAACTGGATACGAATTTCTGCAAGCACCAAACAGAGAACGAAAAGAATGTATGAATACCCAGGAACAGCGCCAACATTGTATTCAATTTAGCTTATTTTATGCCAAAAACAGAGCAAAGCAATCAAGTCTGCAGTTTAGGAGTCATAGAAATAAAGGTAGCCCCAACTTGTGACCACAATTGAGCCCAAAATTTCTATTGCTAAACAAGACAATTGTTAAGTGAGTTTTGCCCCATTTTATGACTTTTCTTGCTTCAGGTGTTAAGTAAATCACCACAGTTGATAAATTAGTAACCCTGTTGTTAAGCTTCCCCATAGACTTTGCTTGTCAGAAAGTCCCAAAAGGTGATCATATGACCCTGGGACACTGCAATCATCAAATATATGCCAGTTGCCAAGCACTTGAATTTTTATTACATAACCATGGGGATATAACGTTGGTAAATGTGAAGAATGGTCGTAAGTCACTTTTTTCAGTGCCTTTCTAACTTTGAACAGTCACTAAAGGAGTATCTTTAAAGTCGAAGACTACCTATATTGAGCATTCTCTGTACAAGAGCAATGATATGTGATTATTCATTCTGAGAAAATGAGTGGTTTTGCTCAAACATTATGGAGTATATAAAGAAGAACCAGTTGAGCTATATGAAACAAAATATAAAGTGACAGCAAAATGTCATAAACCTAAATAAACTGATTATTAATTTACTAATCTCTTGTACTTATATCATAATAGGTCAGGTAGCTAGACCAAAGAAAACAATCTTGCTCTGCCATTGTCCCATGCAAACTAACTCTTCTCTCTCTGCCTCTCTGAGACAAGACGCTTGTAGACCTCTGGATTACCTCCTCCTAGAGCAGGGGTGTCAAACTCACGGCCCGCGGGCCAGATGCCTCATGTGCTGGCCCTACTCCCACCCAGTTTAGCGAAGGGGGGAAAATCCTGATACGTCACGTGACACCACCATGACGATGCGAGTTGAATACCTTTGTCCTAGAACCTTCTCAAAGGAATCTCCTCTCTGAATGCATAATCTTCATTACATGTTCATGCAGGACCTGTTACTTCTGACTGGTCCTTTTGCTTATCTACAGACTGATCGTCACAAGTGCAGAATCCTGATGTCTGTTTCAACAAGCTTTGCACAACATTTCTGTGAAACGTGTCTTTTTCTTCTGAGAATGTTCCCTTTGTCATTGTTTTGACATTCATTTCCCATAATGTGTGAGACGGGGCCTTGTTAACATTCCCTTCTATCACTTTCCCAGCTTTCCTGATATTCTTTGCCTGACCTTGTTGATAGTCTTGCCCTAATCATATCTCTTCCCTGGCTTCACCCTTGCTCTTGTTATTCGCCTCTGTCACTTCTGTGTGCTCTGTAGGATTTTCCCAGCCTCATTTCAACCCCTTTAAAAATGTATTCTCCCCTCACACATTAAACTGGCTATGTTCAAATCAATGCCTTTCATTATAGCCAGTTGCAGTATATGTAATAAAATACAAATAACAAAAAATGTAACAGCCTTATACCAAAACACGTTTCCCCATATCTGCACAAAAGCTGACCTCACACTTTCTCTTATATTATGCATGCCAAGATGAGCATGAATGAGCAAGATACATAATTAAACAGACTGACTTCACATAAGTACATAAATACACAATTGGATTAAAATATTCACACTAAATAATGTAGGGACAATCTTCCCTTCCTGCTCTGATAGGAAAAGAACAATAGGGCTAGGGTTGAAGTATGTATAGTGGAATTAGACGGAGAAAGCATTTTCATTGCCTTGAAAAGCAGAATGAAGTGATGGAAAATCTCACTTGAATGTGTGGTATATTAAAACAACCTGCCCTAATCTCTTTTGATATAGAGGGTTACAAAATTAATAAAAGCCATGCAATCAAGCCATCTGTGTTTACAGGGCTTCCAATATTTTTTCTATAAAATAAGTCACAATCATTATTATATTGAAGGAGAAAACAATGGGAAAAAACACTCTTGCAAAGGAAGAAATGGCAGAATGAAAACAGATCCACCAAAAAAAGAAGGGTCAACAATAAAGAGCCAGTGAGTAAACAGGTTCTTTAAACCTCTCTCCGGGTAAGGAGAGGCCAGGATATCACTCACAAGTTACTCCTTGCAAGGAGACCATAAAACTATGGTCTCCAGCAGATTTTGAGCACTGGAGATGAGGGAACAGCTATTTTGCTAAAACAGACTTGGCATCTTTAAAAGCATATGGAGTTCACATACATTCTTTTCCAAACACATTTGGAAAATGCTTATTAGCTATTTTTCATTGGATCAAGAAATCTGAAAACATTGGGTGAATCTGCCTTCAATCCTTCATGAAAGAAAAATGTTATTACAAGCTGAAATACATAAAAAATGAAATAGCAAAACAGTAATGGAAATTTTGGTTTTAATTATAAAAAGTTATAAACAGGTTGGGAGTTCCGATAAATTAATATTCTCTATGAGGGAGGTGGGCACTTTGTAAGAGAGGGAGGGAGGGAGAATTTGAAAGAATATTTTGGAATTGGTTATAAAGAATTTGTCTATGGGAAAGTTGATTTGCTTTGACTTTTTTTCTAAGACATAAAAGAGATAAACACATTTAAAAATTGGACACTAGAGGGAACTACAGATTTGATCAATTTCTATAACCACCCATCCCAGGCAAGTTTATTTTAAACTAAAGGAGAAGAATACATAAATCTGATTAACAGCTACAAAATCACACAAAATACCACAACATTGGAAATACTGAAGTATACCTTTGAAAAATAGAATCAGAAATTGTTATCAACTATGTCAATAGTGATGTTAGCTTCTATGGATATACTGTATCCAATGTTTTAGAAGAAATGGTAATAGAGGAATAAGTGTTAACCAAGAAGACAGAGGAGCTGTGACTGAAAGTGGATGACAGGCTACAAAAGAATGACATGAAAAAAGTTGTTGTATTAGATATAAAAAAGAAAATTGGTTGACGCTTTAAAAATCAAAAGGAATTACAAATAATAAACCAAGAGATGGATCTGAATAATTTTTTACATTAAATTTATTCAAGAGATTGGGGGAAAGAAATCAAGTTCTAGAACATTACTTGAATAGACAAAAGTTTAAGGCTGTCAGAAGTAAAGGGAAGGAATATAAAGTTGGTTTATTTGATTAAGATTAAAATAGATATTTGCTATTTCTGACAATCCTTAATGGACTTTTGCTGACACTAGGACTAAAGTGACAGTATTTTATGGATATGTTTGTACATAGTTTGAAGATATCATTAGTTATTAATTAAGAAGAGGTGAAAAGTTACTAAAATTGTTTATAATTGTTATGATGAAAGTTGGAAGTAACTTGTTGGTATTTCTTTTCTTTTTCTTTAATATAGTTGTACTATTCTTGTATTCTCTACATGTTTTCCTTAGCACTTTTTACTATCTATCTATCTATCTATCTATCTATCTATCTATCTATCTATCTA